ATTTAAAATTATTTAAAAATTTACCTTGTACCTTACCATTTATAAATCCACCATTCATTCAAGAATGGTGGAATCCAAATGAATCTTATCAAACTCTGTACAAACATTTAAAAAAAAAATTCATGGTTAAACTTTTTTCAATTGTATAAGTAAATAAATAATTGAATTTAAAAGAAACATAAAACATACAACATATTACCTTTCTCTAAACTATCCAGTGTGTCTAAATCCTCCTCCTCTATATCAGAAACAGCCTTATCTCTCAACCAATCTTGTGCACAAATGAGAGCTTGTGCCATTCTTGGTGTCAATGACGAGCGAAAAGCATCGAGGACTCGACCTCCAGTACTGAATGCTGATTCAGAAGCAACAGTCGATATTGGAACTGCTAAGACATCTCTTGCCATGGTTGCTAACACTGGAAATCTATGCTCATTCATCTTCCACCACTGAAGAACATCAATATTTTCGTTCTCATCCTCAGGATCTTCTGCCAAGTACTTCTCCAACTCTGTTTTTTCTGCCCTTCTACCATTGGCAGCTTTAAATTTCTTGTAATCAGACCTCACTTCAGATGTTTGCACTCTATTTTTCGGATCTGCCACACTTTGCATATTGGTTGCAGAGATAGAGCTGCTTCCTTGTTCATCAAATGATTGAGGGTATTTCATAGTAGAGGAATTCAACCTCTTGTATTCTTCAAACAATATTCTCATCTCACATTTGACCATGGCAACATAAAGAGGCCCATTATCATCAAGTTCACCATCAGATTTACGACCATACATCTTCAACATTAAATACTCCAAATAATCCATCTTATACCTTGGATCCAACACCACTGCAAAGAAGATGTTTTTATTCATCTCCCTTGGATCCCCCCAATATTTTGTATACTTTGTTCTCATTTTACCAGCAAGTTCATAAAGATCCACATCCTGTTCCCATTTTTTAAGTGTATGATCAACCTACAACTAAAATAATTCAGCAAAATCTAACCTATAATTAAATTGAAATAAAATATAACTTACAAAAGAAAATATATTACCTCACTAAGTTCGGAAAAATATAAATTACTGGTAGTATATAAGGTTCCAGAAACCTTTCTCGTCAACTCATAGAAATGATGTAGAAATTTGATTAATTTTCTTAAATTTTCCCAATCTATGCAAGAAGGAAATCCAGGAGCCTTAGGACCATCATTCAACTCATTCTTCATGTGTGGGTCTTGTCTTGCATATCTTAAAACAAAAAATGCAACCATTAAATAAATAGTTCAGATTTTTAACTAAAAACTATTAAAAACGAAAAATATAAATAAAATAAAATAAAACTAACCTCTCAAAAGCTTTCTCAAACCTCTCAACAGTGTCCAGCATTAAATAAAGTGAATTCCACCTTGTTAGGACATCCAAACACAATAACTTTTTAGATTCGATTTCTGCCCACTCACAAGCCTCCTTAAATCTCTTTAACCTCATAGGACTTTGCCTAATATATTTAACTGCAGCCCTAATTGCAGTCACAGATTTATTCATCTCTTTTTCTTTAGTACCCTTACCAACAACCAAGTTTATGATGTGGTCTGCACATCTCATGTGAATGTCTTTCCCACCAAGAATAGCAGTTCCCCATTTATTCACTGCATCTTTCAAAACCCTCACAAGTCCATCATTTGCTGATGCATTATCAGCAGTTAATGCATAAATTTTCTCTAACCCCCAATCCTTCAAACATCTAACAAGAAGATCTCCCAACTCATCTCCTTTATGACTATCAACAGGACAGAAACACAGTATTTTCTTATGTAACTTCTACTTAGCATCAATGAAATGAGCAGTCAAGCTCATATAAGTGATTCTTTATAAGCTAGTCCAAGTGTCGTTGGTTAATGAAACTCTAAAATTTGATTCTTTGAAGTAATTTTTCAAGGCAGTTCTATGTTCTACATAGATGTCATAACATTGTCTAGTGATGGTTCTCCTAGATGGAATTTTAAAAGTTGGTGGCAATGCTACTTCACAAAACCTCCTAAAGCCTAATTTTTCAACTAAGCTAAAGGAGTCCTCATCAATAATTAACATTTCAGCTAATGCTCTCTTCACTGCACTTTCATCAAACTTCCAAGTTCCTAAATCAATCACTGTCTTACTTCCATCTACTTTACTAACATACTTCAACAGTGTATTATTTTTCAAATTACTAGGATTTTTCAAGCAACATTTAATATGACCATTCATGGTAGAAGTACCATTTCTCCTAGGTTCAACACACAACACCTTTCCACAATAATTACATCTTGCTTTCTGCTGACTAGTAACTGGATCATCAAATGCAGTGAAGTGTAGCCATACCTTTGATCTTTTTTGGATACCCTTTCTTTT